CTCACTTGAAATGTGGGTGGGTTCAAAGAAAAGGGGCTCAGTCCTGAGTTGTTTAACACACCTGGATGTCAATACCATGAAATAAAAGCTGGAATTCTGAACTTTTGTCTCATATTCATCTTTTGATCTGAAACCCAAATGTCTTCAGTATACAATAAAAACAAAGGAATTGTCCTTGCCGTTCCAATACTTTTGGAGGGGACTGTATATTTCTTATTTTTTATTTCTCTGACCCTTTTTCCTGCAATTTACTTTCTCACCAGCAGGGTAGAAGATGATTTTTTATTTTTTTTATTTTTGAGCTCTAACCTAACGTTTAGCTTTTGTAACTTTTGTCTTCGTTAGGACTTAGTGTTCGAGTGGAACAAAGTGAAACACGAACCACGAAAAAAAAAAAGAAAAATTTCTCAGCGAACTTCAACTTTAATATTAGCTTGTTTTTCGTATTTATCATTATTCCGAACCTTGGTTCCGCAATAACTGGATTTGAAGTTTATTTATTTTGATTGAATTTTCCTCCGGCTGAGTTTCTTAGGGGCTAACATTTCATCATTTTTACTATTTTTCCCTGCTTTCTATTTTCATATTTCTTTTAAATTTTAACTTAAAAAATATTTTTTTATTTCATTTTGGCTAAAATAAAAATAATGTTTTCGCATTTCCGCTAATTTAAGACCAAAGTTGGACTTTTTTACCTCCGTGGTTACATTTAAACATGAACACAAAATTTTTTTTGTCTTATTTGACTAAATATATATATATTTCATATATTTTTTTTTTAGTTTTTCTTTCAATACTTTTAGGTATTTCAATATATTTAGGTATTTCAAAGTAGTACTACTACATTCGCGACTTTTTCTGTGTACTAATGTGGTCCGAAGCCGTTAATCCTAAATCTGATTGAATTACTGGACGTCGTTAACGGAATCATTTGTTACGCTGGGAGTGATGAAGACTCCCAGCGTTCCTCTCCGTCAGGTCATCGGCGGCAGCGGTTGCTGCTTTGATGCAATCAGCTGAGAGGCTGAAGAAAGGATTAAGGGTAGAAGGTTGTAGAGGTGATGGTGTAACGTGAAGTTTCCTTTTGTTTATGTTTCAAACCGGTGTGTTTGCTTCGCTCTTTATCATGGAAATTAATCCCCAGACCTGAGAATTCAATTGACACCTCCCCCATCCTCCCCCTCCTCATCCTCCCCCCTAAGCTGAGCTGAGCGGCATGTTCGCACCTCAGCACTGATGTTCTGGCATGTTCCAAACCACGTCATCAGATCAGACCAGAAGTCGCCCCAAAGGAACCGAACCGACAACTAGTGGTTCTTGACTAATCCAGATTAAAGGGCTCCGTGATGACTCTGGTCACGTGACGTCCGTTAGTCGCAGCGCTAGTCGTCTGATGTCGATGCTTTGTTCAAATCATGTTCATCATCATCATCATCGTCATCAAAAATGTCTCCAAATATCTTAAAAAATAAGCTGTAAAGGCTATATATATAAAAATATATATAAACATATATAAACACATATATAAATATATATAAAAATATATGTAAATATATGTAAACACGTATATAAATATATATAGACATATACACTATATTACCAAAAGTATTCGCTCACCCATTCAAATGAACAGAATCAGGTGTCCTAATCCCTTGGCCTGGTCTCAGGTGTATAAAGTGCAAAGAGGTCACCGACTTTCTGCACAGTCAATTGCTACAGAGCTACAAACTTCATGTGACCTTCAGATTAGCCCAAGTACAGTACGCAGAGAGCTTCATGGAATGGGTTTCCATGGCCGAGCAGCTGCAGCCAAGCCAC